GAGGGGCACAAACATTTTACTGTCGCTCAGCTATTAATATACATAAAATGGCTAAAATACGATTAGCCAGGCTCCGTACTCGGCGGCAACATGTTGCTCCGTAAATATTGACAAGCGGCAGCAGCAACGGCAGCAGCAGCAACAGCAACATCTCGGCCCAAAGACGCAGCAGCAACATGAATATCGCACCTTGTAAACTCATTTGCGCGTACGTGTTGAAACAAATGTTTGCGGGGGGTAAGTGAAATGAAAAAATTGCCATCCTGGGACAGAAAACAACAGGAACTGCAGCAGCAATTCGAGATTGTCGCGTGATTGAACTCGAGGCGTGAGCAATCACGATGCTCAATCGAAGGAGTAGTTAATCAATGGCGGAGATACATTGGTTTAGGGTCTAAAAAATTGAGAAACTGTTTGTAATAAATATAATAAGTAACTCATTTACCTGTTCAGCATTTTTAAACAAAGTTGTTGCACTTATATTTTAAGTAGCAACTCAAGTGGTTGGTTTTCTATTTGCTGTTTAGTGGGCGTTGCAATTGGTTTTTAAACATTCCGCTTTGCATGGGGAAAGAGAGTTCTTAGCGGACGGGTCACGCCCCCATCCTTAGGGCCGCCGTCCCGCCAGCAACAAATGTTGCATTGGCAATTGCCATAAGTCAGACACAGCAGCAACTCCAGTGCAGTAGCAACATGGCCACGCCGCAGGAGTGAATTTCATTGCATGCAGTTTATGTGCGGCCTAATGGGTCTCTCGTTGTTGCAGTTGCTGCTGCTGCTGTTGTTGTTGTTGCTGCTGCTGATGGGAAGCCACCAGCAACACGTCCATCTTCATCATGGGCAGCGACTGCGGACTCCTTCCTCGTTTTCCCTGCTGTGCACTTGGCGTTTGTCTGCTTTTTTTCGGCACCATGACACCAGGAGAGCACATGGACACCCCCCTCGCCCATCCACCCCCTCCCTTCCTCTCCCCTCTTTATGCAAATTCACTGCTGCTGCTGCTGCGTGTCAATGCAAACTTTGCTGACTTGCATGCGAATGTTGCTTGCACAAACATTGAGGTGTACTGCCAAAGTTGTCGACGGAGTCGGGAGGCAAGGAGTCGCCCATGTTGCCGCTTGTCCGTGGTGTTGCCGCCGTTGCTGTTTGTGTTGCAGCTACAGGAGCAACGGCAGCAGCATCAGCAGCAACAGCAACAGCAGCAACAGCAACAGCAACAGCAGCAGCATCAGCGGCTTGTTGGCCCGGCGACCACAGCTGGGTGTCCTGTGCGCGCACAGTTAAGCAAAGTTAAGCAAACTCGGTGGCCAGACCAAAGGCAAAAGCAGCAGCAGCAGCAGCATCAGCAGCAAAGGCAAAGGGCAAGGGATTCGCAGTCGGATTCACATTCGCATTCGCACTCGAACTCGGACTCGCAGCCACTCGCCAAAGCCAATGGAAATTGGACTTGGCCTCCGAAATGCCCAGTCGATTGAACAGGAGCACCAGGAGCAGCAGTGATGAGTGGTGAAAAGAGATTTACAATTATCATATGATATTAAATATAATTCAGGAAATACATATTTTAACCGTATAAAATATAAATTTAGTAAAAAAAAGATTTTTTAGGGAGAATGATTTTAAGTTTCGTTAGTCATCGATTGACTTTCTTTCCGTAGAAAACTTCAAGTGATTTTTGTGTTATTTGGGTTGATTGGAAATGATCTTAAGATACGATTCTATAAATACGTATATTTCCTTTAAGCTAAAGTATTATCTCGACAATAAGCTCCCCTTTTCAGCTTGTATTTAACCGAAGAGCCAGCTCAGTTGTGCGTAAGTTGTCGATGCCTGGTTCCCCCTGCCAGATCCCCTCCGATTTATCCAACCAGTCGGTGTTACATTTTTACGTGCTCCAACGCCCAATGAAGGTAAACACGGCGGAGGGAAAACGCTGAGGAGGAGGAGATGTTGACCACCAGTAACGCCTACGCAGGCAGTCAGATTCGGACTCGCATTCGCATTCGCAGTCGCATTTGGATTCAGGTTCAGATTCAGATTCAGATTCAAAGAGTCTGGGAGTCAGCGGGCAATGCAGCATGATGAATGTCCCATTCCAGATCCTAGGTGAACTGCGTTTTCCGTACGTGCTTGATTTGAAATGCAGGGTCTACAAAAGGGGGATTCAGTTGGAGTATCTTAAAAGAAAGTTTTATTAGTACTCAATATATTTATAAGTATTTGGAACCTTAAGGTATCATGACTTACTTAATATATATTTGGTAGACTTTTGAAATAACCTGTATATAGAGATTAGGTGTGCCAATCTATGTGTCTTTTCATGATCTCATAAATGGGGTTAATCCCCTGAAATCCTGAGTCAGACGCCTCTGCGGGGGCAACTCGAATAGAACGTGTGCCAGAATGTCGTCGTGTGGTGACGGTGAGGATTTTGGCACAAGATTTGCGCCCCCAAAATCAATTAAAATGCCAAGCTGCGTGAGTCACACGCACATGGAGCCGGGCTGCGATGAGGTTGGTCTTCGGTGAGGTTCTCCACGCTCCACGAAAGTGTTGAAAGGAGCGGGCTCCTTTGTCGGACCTCCTTTCTGGGACCTCCTCGACGGATGATCCGTCGACGTCGAGAGGTGATGATGGGCCAATGGCCAGGAATTACAATGCTTATTGCATCTGCTGGAAATTTGCATACCCAATCACCGAATGGCATCCCCGACTCTTGACCCCGTTTTCAATGGCCACTCGACACGACTCCGGCACGTTCTGTAATCGATCATCGTGCCCCAAAGTGGCCAGAAGACTGGAACCGGAGGTCCGAAGACTGAACACTGAACACTGAACACCGAAGACTGGAGACTGGAGACCGAGGGCCGCCGCTCATCAAAGTCCAACAAAGCGCATACCACAGATATCAATTAATTTCAGCGGGCCAGCGTGGATGTGAAAAGGCCAACAAAATCGTAATAAGTCAATGCCTTTGACGAATACACGGAAAACAACTTAATCAATAAGATGAGCTAGTAAGTATAACTTTCTTTAAAATATTTTATAACAAAGTATTTTGTTTAAAGCCTTGTACTGAATCAATATAGAAAATTTTATGTTATGTTACTCCCTTTTATAATTTTAGTATATTATTATACAACTTTTTTTTTCCTCTGCATTGCCAGCAAAACTGAGATCGAAGTTCCGAGACTTCGGACCTTTTTTCAGCGCAACTCTATTGATAAACACAAATAATTTTGTAGCAGGATGATGATTCTACCTCGGCGAGTCACAATCATCATCAATCGGTTAAGAAAATATTTAACAAGTGTTTGAATGATTTTGAAAAATGATGTGCAGCATGTGCAGCAACAGGAACGATTCTGAATACGGATTCTGGGTTCTGTATTCTGGATTGTGGGTTCGGAATACTGGATTGTGGGTCTGGAAGCAGTCTCCTCGTCTACAAATTATTGCACGCGATCGCTCATTTCCAGCAGAAATAACACAAACACGGCAGCAACTCGGATGGGGAAACGGATGGGGTAAGTTTAACTGGCAACCAGAAACCAGCCACCAACAACAAACAACCAACCAACCATCAACAACACCAACAACAACAACAACAACAACAACAACAATAGCAACAACAAGCAACTCGAGTTGCCAGTTTCCAATCTCGCAGGCGATGTAGATATAGCAAATAAGATATGGCCGGGGCATGTCATGAGCCCCGCGACTGTGAAAACATCTCAATGGCAAAAGTATCACATCATTCATAATTTCATTGCCGGGGAGACGGGGGAAAAAGGGGAAGCCGCTGGGAATTGAGTTGTTGGACCTGGCCACGAAAATCTCTCGGCTCAAGTGTTGAATGTTTGCTCAAATAACAACGGCAACAACACGAGATCCGATCCGACCAACAGATCTCGAGATATATCTCCCGGGGATCTCTTGGGGGCGCGGTGAAATTTGACAAATGAACCGGGCAGTCCGAAAAATAAACACACACAAACACGGAAAAAAAATACACACAAAGTATATGCACTCGGACAAAAAATTACATTAATTCATAAGGAATTTTAAAAGCTTAAAATTAAACAGATCTGTGAAATAATATTAACTTGTTCAAATGGAAAAAAAATAAAAGTAAAATTGTAATGATTAATTTCACTAAAATAGTTAATAACTTCTTTGTTTTTAAACCAAATCTTTCTAAAATAAATGTAATTATATTTTCTTGTTTTATTAACTTAACCAGTGGGTGACATTTCTCCATGTGTAGTGACATTCATAGCCCGAAGTGATCATTATTAATGATGACGATTTGTTGATATTTATGTAACGTGCTATGGAAAGCCTTTTCGTCTGCAATGCGATCGCACAATTATAAACCAACAACAGGAATTACAAACAAGTGCAGTACGCAGGGCTGCCAAGTCATGCCCATTGGCTGGGTACTCCGATCCCAGGTACCGAATCCCAAACCCAAACCCAACTCCAATCCGAATCTCAATAATCATGATCACTGCGATGATCTTCCACACAAATTGCTTTATTCGAACAGCTGGCGGGCAGGAAACCTCTGCATAATCTAGGCTTATAATTCAATTAATGCCCTCGGTTCTTCTCGATGCACTCAGCCCGGGGAACCTGAAGTGCCACACTAGAATCCAGCCACATGACTGGCAGCTTGAGTGGCCATAAACCACGAGGACTCCTCATTTGACTTTTAGGGGGAGCGGGATATTTCCAAAGTCGTCGTCACACTGTCTGCGGCAGATGCTTTAAATGATCGCCAGTTGCCACAGGTTGATGATCGAGCTGCACCGGAAATCGGTTTCGAGTTTCGAGTGTTGCCCAAAGAGATCGTTAGGCATTAGCAAGTGTCGTGGAATCGGTTGAAATTAAGATATTAGCACAACCTCTTCTGCGAAGGAAGCAAAAACAAATCCTCTAATCTCTCCAATCAAAATCAACAAGACAGTTTGCGTTTGTTTTTGAAAAAGATGTTTTCTCTTTAATTTGTTTTCTTTTTTAATTGATTTCGGTTCATTTTTAATTGTATTTTATAATTTGTGTTAACTAAATGCTAGTTTTTAGCTGTGGAGTGGCGTCTCTTACTGTTTTCTGCTTTGCTTATCGTATCAATTTCGGCTATCATTACTATTTACAAGTTGCCTGGCCAGCTATGTTAGGGACACTATGGATCTATGGATCTAATTATACATGTATTTATATCGATTTTTATACATTTAAAAAACAAGAAAATAAACAATAACAACGTTTCTCATGGTAGGTATACGACAATGGTTGGTTAGGCGTACGCATAAATATATTACAGGAGCCTTGGCAAGCAGCATCAATCTTCGAGTTGAATGAGGGAACACTTATCGATTACCGAACATTAAACTAAGTAAATTTAAATTTCATTTAAATTAAATTAACTAGGCTCTTACACTACAATGCAGGAATGTTTGTTTGTCTGTTTCTTTTGTTTTGTGCTGTGTGCTGTGTCTTTTTCGATGAGATTTCACTGTGGTTCGCTTGGGTTGCTCAAAGCCTAAGAACTGGGTTGCTGCTTTCTGGTTGAATTTTCGTGTGTGTTTCCGGATCGCTTTTCTTCGATTGAGAATGCTTGTGTGGTTTTCTGCTTCGTGGACGATTTACATATAATTTTGACTAGGAAAGGACGTTTTTGTGGACTGCCAGCTAGCGGTGGGCTCTCGCTGGCGAGGATTGCTCTAGTCACACCTCGCTGGGCATACAGTGCACACTCGAGTCCTGCGACAATTCATCCATGGAGGATTCTGAAAACGAATCGAAAATAGAATGGTTTAATTTAAGAGCCTTTCTTGCAATGTTACTAGTTTAGAAAAGGATTTTACAACTTAATAAAATATATAGAACCCTTTAGATTTATTTAAGTCAAACCCAAAACAGATCCCCAAAACTAAATCAGATTTCTTACCATGGGTCGGGTATAGACCCGCTTTAGAGCCGTTCAAATGCATTGGGTTCTGAGCGTTATTCTGAAATGAATACGTTAACTGCAGGTTAATATGACGCGCAAATGAGCTTCCTTCCGGTTCGCGAACTGCAATCAGAAATCGTTTGTTGAAAGTAGAAAGAAAACAGAAGAAATTGTAAGTACTGTGTTATCATCTGCAACTCAATGCAAGTGTGGGGATATATTTTTTTTTTGAAAGGGGGGGGACTGGATAGTCTAGTTCTACTGGGAGGGGGTTTTCTAGGGGATCTGCTGTGGGGAAGGATGGAGGAAAGGGGGCATGCGGCACTAATCCACTACTTACTTTTATTCTTACCAGCATGTATGTGTTTTTTCTGACGCGCCCGCGAGTTCTGGAACCACACTTGCGTCACACGCTTGCTGAGACCGGTCACCGAGGCGATCCGCTCCAGATCCTGGCCATCCGGATTACTGTCAATCTGGAAGTTGGCCTGCAGCACTTGCAACTGCTCCTCGGTGAAGGTGGTGCGCACCCGTTTCGTCTTGCTCTTGTGGTAGCCATCGCCATCACAGCCCTCTGGAATGGAAAAGCAGATATGGTAAAATAAAACTGCGATCAGAAACTCAATCGGAATGTAAATCGAAGGGAAGCAGCAACAATACTTGGGTATCTCCGAACAAACTTATTAAAGTTATTGATCATTTATATTATTATTAAATAAAAATGTAGTTAGTACTTTTTCTCAATCCATATAAATTAATTAATCCAAATCCTTGATGATTAAAAACTAAAATACTATTTAATATAAAATAAAATCTTTAATAGGGAATGCTGTAAAGTCTCTACTGTGCGTAAGCCTAAAGGTCTGTCTCTTCAGTGGCTTCTTTGGCCCTGGTCTAAAAGCATTTTGACAGTCGGCCAAATTGAAAACGTCAAAAAGTGTTTATGGTTTATAGAGCTGCTGCTGCCTTGCTTTATGTGGCCACTGTGGTCCGGACACGGTGGTCTCCTCCGCGGAAGGAGATGGGGTTTCCAGAGAGGGGGATGCGAATGGGAGGGGGAATGGGAATGGGTTTTGGGTCGGGGGTTTGGCTACGACATTCACAAGCCGATCACGTCGCCTCAGAAGCAAAAAAAAAAAAAAACAGAAAAAATAAAGCATAACTGGAGAGTTGTTTTTTACGAGTGTGACACGATTTCGTCAGTGGCGACTGGCTGGCGCTTAGCTCTGCCGCAGCTTCACTGTACCGTTCACAGTGAAGCGTCCCGAATTGGCAACCGTTCTGCCGCCGGAGCGTGCAGCATGTTTCCACCTTGTTTTTATGCCCCCGTTTTGTTTTTCGAGAGAGAAGGTGCAGAGGAGCTCTTACCGTCGCTCGATGTGGTGCCTCCCTCGACCGTCTCCAGATAATGAGCCTTGCAGAGCACCCGGTCGTCCATGAGGGCGAACTGCTCCCCGGTGGACAGCTGCCTGCCGCACTGGTCGCAGGCGAAGCAGGCCAGGTGGAACACCAGCTCCCGCGCCCGCCGCACCCAATCCGAGGCGGAGATGCCGCGACAGCACTTCGCGCACTTGGCGCCGAAATTTCTGCAATCAAACGAGAGGAAACTCAATCAGTGGCTGCTTTTACATATGGTTAATTAAGTAGTTAGGAAGTAAGATTAGGTAAGATTATTTAGAATATGTTCTTGAAAAAATAAATGTACTTTTAAAATAAAAACCATTTTATATATATATATATAAATATGTGAAATAGATCTTTTCATGGGAAGAAATAAATTGAAGTCATCTTGAGAATACTGAGATACCAAGAGATAGAGAAATCTTAAACATAAACAAATTATGTTTAAGATAATTCCATAACTTATGTTAGTTATGAAAAATGCACATTATATTATGGAAAAGGAAAATCGAAACGAGTCCATCAATCCGATACGGTTAAGTATTTTCCTGTACGGCGGAGCAGCGCTTTCCAAGCGGAAGTGCTCGCCGTGGCAAACGTTTTTCCAAATGAGTCGGCAACTTTCGGTGGCTTATTGTTAGCTTTTAAGCTTATTTTTACAACAGCCACAACAATGTATGGCCAGAGCATGACTCGGATGTGGATGTGGATGTGGATGGGTTGTCTCGGGATGGGTTCAGATGCGATGGGAGGAGGCTGCTGAATGCCGAATGCTGAATGCTGGATGATGTCTCCATCGGGCAATGCACACTTAAAATTCTTAACTTGAAAAATAAATATTTTTACAGCATCTCACGGCGCGTCTGTTTGTTTATTTTCATTTGGTTGGACGTCGACACCGTTTTCCTACGTTTCCCCCGGTTTCTGTATCCGCCAGATACTCAGATACTTGGATACTTTGGCTTGCAACTTGCATTCGCCCCGTAAAGTTTTCATTTCGTTACGTTTTGGCCGCATCTTTGTCGCTGTTGACTTTATGGATTAAGTCGCAAACGCTGTCGAATTGTAACAATTACAATTAACCAGGGGACAGAAGATGTGTGGGAAACTATTCGGAAAACACTTGTGCACATACACAATCGAGTTGGAAAATCAATTGGAATTTTCGAAAGTTTTTCAAGGGGCAGTTTTTCAAAGCAAACACAGGGCATTTTTGGCTTTTTACACAGTGGGGCAAAGCTAGTGTTTATATGAGGTAATTAATCAGGAATAATATGATAAAACAGAGAAAGCTTTTATGATTTTGTCATGAAAGGATCAGTAATCTAATCAATATTAATTATCTTTGATCAGATATTTTATAATTATTTTTTTATATTTTAGCTTATCAGTTTGAGATGATGATTCTATTTTTTCTAAATTTTTAGTTCAATACTCACTTGCTGTAGTCGGCCTTGCAGTAGACCTGCCGCTCCCGGATGAAACAGGACTGCTGGCGGTCCAGGGGACACATGCACATGCAGCAGCGGAGGCAGTGGGCGTGCCAGGAGCAGCCGCCCACCTCCAGGAAAAACCGATCCGAGATGGGCTCCCCACACGCTGCGCAGGAACGCAGCTCAGTCTGGAAAGGAGATTAAAAAGGCGGTTTTAGTTTATTTTATTGGATTCTCTGCAAGACTATTTCTATTTCTATGCAAATACTGGTGGCTCTTTTATCACACACCTGAGAACCGGATCGGTGGCCTATTCGAAAAGCGATCTGATCTGATATCGTAGCGCCCGTCGGATTTGTTTCTTCTTTTGTTGTGCCTTCAAATGAAATCGTTCAATAAATCTGGCAAATGTCCCGGCGGCTTCTGTTTTATTTCTTAGCTGCAGCGTTTAACTTATGTATATTAAACAAATTTCAATAGCCACACAAAAGACGAGTTTCTTTCGCCTCGGGCTTTGTTTTGTTTCGACTTTTCGATTCGCTCTTTTCGAAAATTGAACCATAAATTTGAAAATGTTATGCTAATTGTTGTTGGCGATATCAATGTTATTGTTGCTGCGACGGCAACTGCTTCACTCCGAAGTCCCCGAAATGTGAAATTTATCGACCCATCCGAAGATCGATCTTATGAATATTCAATGGGTCGCCTGCATGTTACGCCGATTTAAATGAGTGTTCCAAACAAATTTTATTGCGTTTCATAAAGTACAAAAAGACACCGAAAATAAAAGTAATGCGTGGAGTATTATTTAGGTTGTGGCTCTCCTAATTGATTTTTTAGTGCTGCATGCAAATTGTGGATTTTAACAAATATCTTAACAGCTGCAGAATCATCATAAACAAAACATATTTTGAAATGAGCCATTTGTAATAAATTCTAATTGATATATTAAGTTCATTTTTTAATTGATAAATTAATGATACTATCTGTGCTGGAGGTGCTACAACAATATTTCAGTTATTAAAAATTAAACAGTATATCATTCTGCGATCTTTCTGATTAATCTGATCGTGAAATTTACATTTAAAAATTGCTTTCAACTCAAATAAATTATTCCAACAAAATTAATGTCACTAGATACTCGTGAAGTTCCTAAAATAATTTTGTTACCCTCCAAGCAACATTAATAAATCAGATAAAGATAAGAGACAAACATTGGAATAAACATTTTTAATGTAATTTTACCTCGAGTCATTTATTTTAACCAAATGACTTTGCATTTAAATATCCTTATTATTATTATAATAAATATTAATTTCAGATAATTTATTTATCCTTTCTCTCTGAAGTGCGCCATCAAAGAACATTTCAATTCGCGTTAATGCCTTCTCGTTAACTTTCCTTCAAGTGAAAAAACATTTAAATTGCTCGATCTGGTTATTGTGATGTGCAATTTCGGGCTGATATATTTATATACTCGAATGCATGAAAAAGGAATTGAATGCAGTACTTAAAACATTTAATTAATGGCCGGCAATTCGCTTATGTACTTTCCGTTCATTGATGAAAAAGGCAAGACGCGAAGCGGAGTTTTTCAATTAATCAAAAATGGCAGGGAAAATACGCTATTTTCGTAACTGGCGGCGACAAAACAATTGTAGGCACAAATAATTGCCGTTTAACTTATGGCCACTTGTTGTTAACTTAGCTGACGAATTTGTTTCTTCTCTCGCCGCCGGAAAATAAATACAAATATAAGCGAGATAAAACCTTCGGCCGTGACTATAACCCGATCAAAGGGCCCGCCATTTGCGACTAAGGCAATTAATGAGACAATGCCGAACGGCAGAGCGAAGCCAAAAGCCAAAAGCCAGAAGCAGCAGCAGCAGCCTGTGGGTAATAGATATCTATGAGAATAATTTATGACAGGCCGCAAACTATCGGATACAAATCTATATCTGGCGTCTTTCGGGGGGTTGAGGCCGAGATACTCGTATAGTATGCAACATGGCCACCATCAGAGCGAGCAACATGTGAGCATGTGAGCTTGTATCTGTATCTGTATCTGTATCTGTGCGTGTTCCGCGGACATCAAATAACTACATCCTAACATGGCCGTCTGAGCGCGCAGCCGCTGCCATTTAACTTTTCAACTCCGGCGTGTATGTGACACGTTTAATAGCGGCAGTCGGCAGTCGGCTCCGACCCACGGATACCCCCGGATACCCGCAAATACCCCTCGACCACCCGACTTTCCCCGGACGAGCCTGCGCTCTGGAGTATCTGCCATAGCTGCCACTGCCGCAGCCCAATGTGCCACAGCCCAATGTGCCACAGCCCTCCTCCTGCGTCGCCTGTCACTTTCGTTTAACTTTTCACATTGCGCGCCCGAAAAACACAGCCAACAACAAGGCCGAATATTACAGGGGATGGGGAGGGGGTGAGGGGAGGGGTAAGGAGAGGAATGGGGAGGGGGACCGGTGCGAGGGGTGTTTTCAGCAATTTGTTTTCCCAACGCCCGTTTTAACACACAAAAACGGAGGCTGAGACAGTGACTTCCGTACACTCGGAAAAATATCTCACAGGACTTTAAAGACAAAATTATGCGTTCTATAGATTAAATAAATAAAATATAGATCAAATAAATGCCTTCATAAAAATATTATATCATCATAAATTTTAGTTTTTTGCAAGCCAATAATATACTTATCTTTATTAAATTGTTATTAGTTTTCAAAGTAACTATTTTATTTATTAAAATTGATGACTATTGAAGTATTTTTTTTTAAAATTTTACTAGCTTGAAAAATATAGTTTTTAAACAATTTATTTTTAACTTTATTTTTTTTTTGTGCCCCAGTTTCCACCCCAAATCGCACCTCAATTCCCTGCAGCTTGTTGGTTATAACTGCATTGGTGTTGTTGTTGTCTATGCCCTTTTGAAAATATGTCAGTTGTCGAAGGACAGGACTAGGGAGGAATGCCGAGGGTAGAGGGGAAGGACACATTTGAAGTGGCATTTTTGGCGAGCATGTCATTTGACTGTAATTTACTCGTGAGTGTCGTGAGCCTTCTGCGGTTGTGTGTGCGTTTCAATGCGAGATGCATAAATCCAGACATGAATTTAAAATGGGTTCCTGGTGGGCTTAGAATTCGTGAAAACTTTTCCGACTGGGTGACTGGATGAAGTGCGGAAAATGGCTTTAGTAGGCCAAAAATGGTGAAGTGATTCGGGTGATGGGAAGAAACATCAATCAAATAGTAAATAGTTTTGGTAAGGAGGGTTTTATTTAATAGATCGTTTTCTTTATTTTATGTAATTAAATAAAAAGAAATACATTTTAAATCTAAGCTATAGAGTCTAATAAAGTAGATTGAGCCCCAAATTGAGACCCTCATCTGGGCAAAAAGTGCCGAAGATTTTGGGAACCGATAGAAGATGAAGGATTCGCCGGATCTCTGCGGGTCGCAAGGGGCGATAAAACATCTCCTCGGTTATCTGTGGGACCTTGGCTAGTTCTGTGCCTTTTATTGTTATTATTTGCTATGAATACTCAGTGTTATATAAGCACACCCCATGCCAGCGAGGCCCTCATAAAAATTCCACAATTTAAAACTTGCACCTTGCAACTTTTGGCTCGAAATGTCGTAAATAACCCGGCTGGCAGTCGTATAAAAGTGGGAAAAACAAAGGGCCAGGCCAGAACTATAAAAGACACATGAAGAGTGTGCGATAAAGTTTATAATCCTCCCCATCCCCATGTTCCATGGGATATCTCCCCAGCAAGGTGCTCGGATCGGTGAAGAAATGAGCGTAGGAAACGCGATGAGACTGCAACCAGTAGCCAGTAGAGTCAACCGGACTCAAGAAGTGTATCATCTTGGAAAGCCAAAAAAAAAAGGAGGGACACGCCTAGAAGATCGATTACCCCGGAATACGGAATAGAAGGCAATCTCTCACGTCACTGCGCAAATTGAGCGATCATCGGAGGGACTACCGAACCAATATCGATTGCCATATCAATGGACGGATCGCTACCTCGATGACAAAAGCCCTTGGCACTCAATTGGTTTCTCCGGTTGTGGCTTGTCATCTCCCAGCCGTGAGAATGTTGTGCTCCCAAAAAACCAAAAACAAAAAAGAAATAGAAATAGAAATAGAAACCAAGACAAAGAGTACCACCACAATGGCCATATCTTTCGGCCGATATCGTTGAACGAAGCCGTTGTACCAACAACTCGAGCACTTGTCACTCGAACGGATTTTGGCAAATGTTTTCCTAAGGCCTTTCGATCTCTCGATTTAAGCTGCTTTTGAACAACAAATTGCAGCGAAGGCTGCTCGGCTCGGCTCGGTTTATTTCCAATACGATATTTTTGTTGTGTAAACTCTTTTTGCCTGATTTATGCGGCATGAAAATTTTCAACGGGCGTCTGTCAAATAAATACTGTATACTCGTATATATTATTTCTGCTTTTCGATGGCGTTGCTGACTTTCGAAAAAGGCGTATCGCTTTTTAATTAGAGCTACTTTTTTGTGGCATAACGCGCTGCGTGGGCCTTTTCGCTTTGTGCCTAATATATTGAATTATGCTAAAATATGAATACCAAAAAGCCTGCACGTCGGCGTTTGTTTGGCGTTAAGTTGGGATCATCGTATCTGATTGTTATTTAATGGCCGCACGAACTGCTCTTTATGAATGGAAGCGGCCAACAAACGCCCACGATCTGGAGTAAAAAGTAAAAAGGGGCATGAAGAGCCATGAAGAGTATCCACAATACGAGCACGCTCCATAAATTGGCTAAATGTTTACAAATATTTCATCGGGAAGCGGTTAATGGTAATGCCGTCGACCAGTTCTTTCACTCCTTCACTCCATATTCACCGCCATATGCACGTTCTATATAGTCCATAGCTGTTGCTCTCGCACCCATTAATCCAATCAAATTAATGGCCTGCTATAACTGGGCAGCCGACAAAAACGGCGACAGAAATGAAAAGGGAATGCATTTCTATGGGAATACAGTGGGATCACACTAAGAAAATCAGCAGGTGAAGCAAAAGTAACATAGTTTTAAGTTCAATAAAAGGTGCCAGAATAAATACTCTTTCAAAGTTCATCTACTGATAAAGTACCTTATGCAAAAGTAAACTATTCCTGTTCAGCCTTGACTATTATAGACACC